AAATCTACTAAATATCGGGTTAGGGGTAGTCTAACTATTATAGAACGCACCTATAAAGATAGCCCGAATAATTTTTATTAATACTGTAATCTGATATAACTTATAAAGATATATTAGTAGAGGCGATAAGGGCGGATCTACTTCCTAATATAGACTAGTAAGCTATAGGTAGGGCTCTAGAAAATAGTGCGAGAGAGTGTGGAGGTAAAGCTGATTTCGAATATTACTATACCCTCGTAGAGGCTAGCGACGACTCTTACCTCTACGTAGTGCCGGCTAGGAACCTATAAATACCTTACCTAGGGTATATTCGTAGAGCTAAGAAGAGTCACTACTGGCTAGCACTATCCGCTGGCTAGGGCTACGGCGGGAGCGAGAGCTTAGGGGTTAGGGGCCCTAACCCTATATATAGGCGATAAAGGAACACTTTGAAAACTACCTAATATACGACTGCGAAACCGATCCTATAATTAGTAGATACTAGGGTTGTGGGATAGGATACCCTTAGGGTGCTCTCGGGCTGCTCTATTGAAAGGAGGATATCGCTAGGTCTAAGGATATATAAACGATAGAGCTAAAAGCAAAACCACGAACGATATGATACGACCTAGCATCCTTGAATCTATATAGAGAACGACGAGGTACTTTAGTTAATAGGAGGAACAATATTGTGTTGCTTAGCTATTCTGGGTATAGAGAGGATATAACTAGGCAAACTCCTACGAGATATAGTCGGCCTTATTAGAGAGATCTTATAAGGTAGCGCGAAATGGATTTGACAATCCGCGGGGCGTAGTATATAATAGAAGCGACGGAAGACTGGGTAGACGGACTATAGATACGATACTTTCTATATAGCTCGAGAGGACGGACGCGCGTATCGGTCTACTAAGAGAATAGGATTTTGAAGATAGCTATCGAGGATAGAGTCTTTAAGGCCGCTATAGAAGTAGGCTTAAGGTGTAAACTGGTATTGACTTATAGAACTAGCTGTGCCCTATGAAGGATGCGGATAAGGATCGAAGGGGATATAAGGGAGAGGGTCTATATAGGTAGATATACTGCTACCTCTACAATATATTATTAAGCGTGCCTAACTTAGTAATATAAATTAATACTTAAAATTGATATAGCACTCCTAGGCAAATATACCCGGTAGCTATATAACCGATTATCGTAGAAAGAAGCGAACGTACTGGCTTAACTCCGAACCGGTATAGTAAGACTTAATAGATATCTCTATCGAATTAATATAGCAGATATAGACTAGTATATGTATAGATAAGCGAGAGAGACTATAGAGCACTTCCTATTTCGATATTAAAAATAGACGGCGTACCGGACGGAACTACTATAATATACTAATACTTACCGAGGAAATATATCCTTCTTCCTAGGAGGAAAGTCGCCTTCTGATGATTAGAAGTAGACGCCGAACTTAGAGGCGGTACGGGCCTTAATACGATTCGCTATCGCTATAGGCCGACTCGAGGCTACCTAACTATACTAACGAATATAAATTACCCCCTTTCGCCGATCTAACCTACTAACCACCTCGTGATATAGATAGTAGACGCGCTTTAACTGCCGAAAATAGGATGTTAAATACTTAAAGAAGCGCCTTTAAGCTAGCCTACTAACAAAATTACTAACCTACGAGAATCCGCTACGATACGGATATCTAAGATGATATATATTATAAGGCTTTATGTATGGGCTCGGAGGAGATACTGTACTATATATATTATGATATGTATAGTAGATTATAGATAATTGCCCTTTCGGCTTAGCCGCCGGGCGTTAATAAATTTTGTGTGTACGTATGTGTGTAGTAACTCTCGCGTATCGTTAACTAGCTGTAAGAAAATACTGTAAATAGGTGGAATTATACGCTATCTAAGAAGCTTATAAAGCTAATATTTATAAAAGTTTTTTAGGTGACCTAGGTCTTAAGCTGACTCCCGAGGGCCTGTCTCTAGCTATTTTCGTTTAGGGATTCGTATTGGGACTACTTATCGCAACCTAAGTAATACGAACGAATGGGTTATAACGATGAATTCAAACTCTGTACTTTACCTAACCGTTTAATAAACTCTTAATAGTGCTTAATAGACTTAAAGGCTGTGTTTTTCTAGTACCTTATGGTATAGCTAGCTCTACCGAGGGTTTAGGGTTGCTATATTATTCCTACTAGTTGGGGAGCGTAATGCGTATTATATTTTTGATATTTTATTGCTTACGTTTATATTACTGGCTTTTTAAATTATCGGATCTAAGCTCCTTATATTATAATATGTCCCTACCTCTGAATATGATGCCTTCGATGCTTCTATTATTCTTTACTTATAGGCCTAGGTTGTTCTACAATCTGTGGTAGGTAAAGGGCGATATATTATGATAGGCTATGCTACCGTTCACTACGTAGTAGCTGTGCTAAAAGTTCGTATAAGACGAACTATTCGGCGACAGTTAATCTTTGTTAGCGTACTAAGTAGTATAGTCGTTGGCTATAGAGAGGTCTAGTTGCTCCTAGGCCTTAAGAGTACGGTTTAGCCGGAAACTACGGGAAATAGAGAAATTCGAGATATTAAGTATAAGAACGGAATCGTTAAATATAGTGAAACAACCCCCGGCTCCTTAACAGTACGGTCTAATCTAGGTCTCGATTTTAAGCGGAGAGGAAAGTTTTTAGAATATGTTAGTAGGAGACTAGTAATCGTGGCGTTGTGGTATGGATTATATCTATTATAGTCTAAGTGGTATTAGTTAACGCCGATAGAGCAGTTGCTACGGCGACGCCTAGAAGGACGGCGATAGTTACTAACCTTATAAGGAATAGGATAGTGTTAAGATAGAATAAGCGAATTAATTTAGAAGGTAATCTCGGACGGAGACGTAGCGTTGCGTTACCGCTATACTTTAGTAAATAGAGGTTTTTCTCTGAATTATAGGAATCTATTTTTCCTTATAAAGGATACCTCCTATTTCTATTTATTCCGGCCCTAGCTTCTAATCTAGCTCCCTTAGTAATCTGTAGCTTATAGATGTCTAACAAACTTCTAGTAAGTATAAGATTTTTCGAAACGCGCTATATCTGATAGGGGTTGCTCGGCCCTAATCCCTATCCTTAGTAGTATTTAGGTATAGTTATAAATAACATCTTAAAGATACCGTATAGTCCCTGCTAAACTAGAAAGGAACCTAAAGTTATACAACGCTAGCTAATATGGATGAGATTTAGATCTAATATAAGGCAATACTAATAAGAATATCATATAAACAAATATACCTATAATAAACGTCTGAAACGTACCGCTAAAGGCTCTTTATACAGCATTGATATCGATACTACTATCTAGCAGTATTTGTACCCCTTTTTGTGCCCTATATATTGTAATACGAAGTTTCGGGTTAAATAGCGATATCGCGTGGTCTTCCTATAATTTTAAGGCTATTACTTTAGGGGGTCAACTATCCTACGCGTAGGCAATTCTTTTCTAGTACTACCGGTCCTATAGAAGCCCCTTTTCCCGGCCCTATACCCGCAGAGGCCACGCGATGTCTAGACTAAAGCGTTCTATACGGCCTTTAATAAAACGATTGAATTAAATACTATTACGAGGTAGTATAGGGCGGACAATATTAGTATCCGTTTCCGTAAACGTAAATAGGGGGGTAAGTGAAATTATATATCCTACCCGTCCTATAGCTAAGCAGAAGTTTCGAAAGTTAATCTAAAGGATTTCTAGAAAGAGTAGTTAATTAAGAGAGTAGTTGATTGAGAGAGTGGTTGATTAAGAGAGTGGTTGATTGAGAGAGTAGTTGATTAAGAGAGTGGTTGATTGAGAGAGTGGTTGATTGAGAGAGTGGTTGATTAAGAGAGTGGTTGATTGAGAGAGTGGTTAATTAAGAGAGTGGTTGATTAAGAGAGTGGTTGATTGAAGAGTGGTCGGCTAGAGAGTGGTCGGTTGATCGGTTGGAGAGTGGTTGATTGAATAGTAGTTGAATAAGAGAATGGCTAGTGACGTCGTCGAACTAGCTAGACTAGCATTGTAGATATAACTGCACTACCTACTAAGGTATACCTCTGCCTTATAAAGTGATATATTTTAGACCTTCTACCGTATCCTGACTTATAATTTTGTCTTTATAACAAATATCTTACCCGAACATCGAAATAATACGTCTTAAAACCCCTATTATCCTTAGACTAGCTGCGTCAGTATCTGCTCTATGGTCAGTCACTTACTACACCGCAACCGATTGTTTAGGCGTAGGGAAAGAGGTTAGAGGTTATAAAGCGGGGTACTAGACCCTAGAGGACGATACGGAATCGGTTATAGTCGCTACCGATAGTAGCAACAATATTACTTTAAGTACGGGTAGTAACTATAACGCTCCTTATAGAGACGAAATTCTAAGCGGAGTAACCGACCTCTATATTAATGCCGCTATCTATTCCTTTTTATCTTCTTAATCGTAAGTTATTTCTTAAAGTACTATTTCTACCGTAAATATACCTATAAATTAATACTATAAGGTTTATTAAAGCCCCGATGATACGCTGAATGGGTGTTAATTAAGGCTTAGCTAATAGGTTAAGATAGGCTTCTAGAATCTATTTGTTACTTACAATATATATAGATCCTAGTTATATATATCTAGACTCCTTTACTATCTTTCCTTATTTAAGATCATCGTAGCGATCTCTATCGGAGAAGCTAAGAAAAGCTACGCTCGCTAGTTAGTTTTAGTATTTTACCCTTTTCTTATTATATTTTAGGGTCACGCCTAAGTTCTTATTAAGTGATCGGTTGCCCTATTATAGGCTATAATAATCAGTAAGACTATTTCCCGACTATAAATAGTATATATCCCCCCTCCCCTATCGACATTACCCTCTTCTTAAAGCTCGTTAGGTCGGGTTAGCCTATTAGATATAACCTTACCACTCTCTTAATATATACTTTATCCTTTCTTTTATACTAAGCCTAGTATAGCTAGCTAACGCTACCTATATTCTCTCCTTAGACAAGGTCAAATCGACTAATATTACTACTCGTAACGTTAACGGATATCGTTCTGTAATATACTTTATAAACTAGGTATAAGCCTAAACCACGTACTCTAACACCAAATCAAAATAACTTACTAAGTCTATTAGGGCATTTATACCTATAACTTTCAGCCTTAGGACATTCCCGCTAAGAAACTAACCTATATTCTCTATATATTTACTAACGTCCGAGCCTCTAGTAAGGTGATCCTATCGGACCCTTAGTCGGACACTAATAAGCACTACCCTACTAATTCCTAGACCGATATCGGTAATAATATCTATAGCTATATCAAAAAGCTTTTCCTACTTAAAAAGAAAAATCGTAAACTTAAGATTCTTCTATCGATTAGAGGCTAGACGTATTCTCCTAACCTTAGGCTAGCCTTTAAGACTAAAGGGGGACGCTAAAAGTTTGCTAATAGTTCCGTCGATCTACTAAAGGACTTAGGCTTCGACGGTATTAATATTGATTATAAAGTATATTTACTATATCGTTCACAGTATTTAATACTAATATTAGATAGTATCCTAGAAATAACAACGAAGCGGACCAATTTGTTAATACCTTACGCCGTCTTCGTAAGGTATTTTTATACTTCTTTTATTGATATATATAGTATAAAACTAAACATTTTTAGGCCTTAGATTCATATAGCTCCGCTAACGCAGGCGGCTATCATTTCTTACTCACCACTATATCTCCTATTGGTCTATATCATTCGTTCAAACTCCTTAAAGAAAGCTAACCAAAATTCTAGGCCCTACCAACTACCTAAAAGAGCATCTTGCCTAGATAGATCAGTATCTCGACTTCTAGAACCTAATAGCCTACGATTACGCCGGAAGCTAGGACACCGTTACCGGCCATAGCGCTAATCTATATACATCTAACAGCAACCTAGCCAGTACTCCCTTCAATACGGACCAAGCAATTGATTACTATACCTCGCACGGAGTGGCCTCTTACAATATTGTTTTAGGTATACCACTATACGGCCGGGCCTTTACTAACACTAGTAGGCCTAGCCAACTTTATAGTAGTGTTAGTATTAGTAGTTAGGGGGATGGTATATAGGACTATAAAGCTCTGCCTCATACCGGCTGCAAGATCGCAAATCTAGACTAGGAAGCTACTAGCTACTACTATAACCCGGGGTCGCGTTTATTCATCAGCTATGATACCCCTGAAGTTGCGCGTAAAAAAGGGGAGTATATCAAATCTAAGGGCCTTAGTAGTGGTATGTGGTAGGAGCTTAGTAGTGACAGGCAAGGCGATGACAGTTTGATTACCACGGTATGTTTCATAGTCCACATTTTCTTATCTTACTTACTTTGACCTTTGTAGGTTGTGAATACCCTTAGAGGCATCGGTGCTCTGGACAATAGCGATAATCAGTTGAGCTATCCTATTTCCAAATACGACAATTTGAAGGCCTGCTTTTGGCCTTTAACAGCTTCTACGCTCAATAATAAACTAAATACTGGCAGCTGGTGCATTGCATCCAAAGCGGATACGATAAATTCGCGCCCGTGCTCATCTACTACCACCACTCCACCTACCACCACTCCATCTACCACGACTACGAAAGATAACCTTCCCCTTGTCACTGTCACTACTACTGCTTGGGTCACAGTGCCATAACTTACAACAGAACAGGGGTTAAGAAAGAATCGATAGCAAAGTGGTGAAACTAATTTCGATCCATCCTGTATTTGGCCGTCGTTCAGAGACCTTGTGTGCCAGTGACTGTTGTTTCTTTATTCACAGATGCAGACTGTGATCCATTTGTGTTTTTCCGTTTGAAAGTACATTCATTGGCAGTAGGATGTCCCAACCCAGGCTCCACCCGTTGAAATACTCCTTTCCGACCTGTTCATTGCCTGCCTTCCCTGTTCAACGTCAAAACCACCAGACTTGTTTACCACTCTGTTGCCCATCAGTATATACAATATCCATAGCTAGGTTAAACGTGTCGATCTCAATGGCTTAAGTATACGATCCCTCTAGGCCAGAAATACCTGATAACAGTCCCACTGCAACAGCCCCCAGTTATTATGGGTTGGAACTTTTCATTCCCTGCCACAAGACTTTCGTTGGTGTCTTGCAGGAAACGACGGTCCTCTTCCAGACGTATTTTACCGGCGGACTTCATCATGTAACACTTTAACAAACACAGCAGGCCACATCCATCGAAGCTATTTTTTGGTTAGAGCCAGTCAAAGATGGATCCAGTGAGATCTGACCTTGGTCTCGCTCAGTGGCAATGGTCTCGAGGATGTGCTTGGAGCTGTCTGGCATCCCAACTGACTTCTCATATGGATTTGATGATTCTCGCTTTCTTCTTTTACTGGCCCATCCCGAATGAGAGTGGGAAGCAGGAGAGTTTATTGGACTGGAGGGTTTCAGTGTTCCTCTATTCAGGCAGTAGAGAACAGAGAGTTGTATCTCGCCAATCTAATCCAACCGAATATCTTTTTGGGTTATTCTGCATCACAGTAGGTTGCATACCACTTTGGTAGTTGATTTCCCAGCTAGACTAAATTACGAATCCATGCTTAGCCTAGTGGGTTATGACTTAAAATCCAACTTCGGTGAGGGGGTTAGGGTAAATGAAGTCATACAACTATCCATCCATTCATCTGTACTAGTAAAAGACGTGGAAGCCGAGAAGGTATACTTGGGCCAACTAGTTGCGCGATGTTTGGCTGTCCGCGGAGTTGTGCAAGGGCATCGATCTCATCCAAGATATGATTCGTATCTCTAGGCTCACATATAGGACGGTCGATCGTTTATAAGCAAACTTGTGTTGAATCAATGGTAATGCGCCCAAAAATCGAGGGCGGACCTAGATCTCCCACACGTGAGCGGACTATTCTAATCACGTGATACTAACCGCATTTACTGACGCAATCTACCCCGCCAACATCCTTCGAAGACTAAGGCTAACTTCTTAGTATTGCTTTAACGGTGGAGGCCGGACGTCAGGCTTCTTGACGCTTATTATAATTACAAAGTTGAAAGCAAGAAAATATATATGTTGCAATCACAAAGTCATATATATAGGCTAGAAATCACCTAAAAAGCGTTATGCCATAAGGAGATAATAAGTGAAATTTAGGGATACAGGTAATACTCGGGCAGTAACCTTTGAAGGCTCGATGAATATCACGTGGGATCCGGACATAGCCTAAGATTAAGCCCCGCTGAAACCCCTCACAGCCAGAAATATTTCCTAGGTCTCAAGCCATGCATTAAAAGTAAGTTATGTGATACCAGTAAATGGGATTCTTTCTAATCTATATCGATAGTTATAGGAACCTTTACCATTATTCGTTGCCCGCACACCAGAATGGCCGACCGTGTGAGTCAAGTCCATAAGCTCTCCTCCACCGAAGAGGCCTTGGTCAACACTATAAAAAAAATACTTAGTGAGAACGCGGTGGAAACTACGCCATTTCCTTGGGGCCTCCTATACGGAAATGAGCAGCTTAAAAATGCCACGAACAAGTTGAAGGACGAGATATCAAAGAGGCATGAAGTGAGTCTGGATGAAGTCACTATTACATATGGAGTGGCTGACATAAGAAGGTGGATGGTGTTGCAGTTTCAGGATTCAACCAGGGCGTGAGAATGCACAAGGATACAATAATAATCGCACTCGAACCAGCGACTTTAACAGTGAAGAGCGGCTTATCTATCACGTTGGATACCGGGTCGTATGTCTATATTCTCGGGGACCCGCCGCTCTCTTCATCGAATGGTCGAGATTGTGTGAATGCTATTGTGGTGGTCCTACATCGATAGTAAGGAAGGAATCTTTCAGATCATGTTTTTAGGGAGCAAGATGATTTGCCTTTATTTGCTCCAAAGCCAGGTATAGCTATTGCGAAAATCTAAACTGAAATCCCTGCACAAGGAGATGTATAGTTGGTGGCGAGACACGACTGGCGTTGTCGCTTAAGGAGTGTCCAAGATATCACTAGGGTTGAACTGAATACTACCAAAGTTTGGGCTGGTCTGCATATCATTGAAAGGGGATTCCAAGATATCTCTCGGGTTAAACTGTATACCACCAAAAGAATGGTCAAATGTATCATCCCGGTTTGGCTGCATATTATTGAAAGGGGTGTCTAAGATATCCCTCGGGTTGAACTGATTCAAATTTGCCAAAGAATCGGCTGGAAAGTCATGCGACATAACTGTTTCACCGAGACTCTGAGAACTTGCACCTGGTTCTCCAAATATGAAGTTGAATGCTTGAAGAGAGCCTGTTTGACCTCCGTAGTGAGAACGCCCCGCAGACACTGTCCGTACATCATCTTGTTCAGGTGAATAGTGGGTGAAAGCACTAGCAGGCAACGGCCGTAGTGGAAAGCGTGTCTGCAATCCATCTTGTCCATTGGAGTGAACAAAGAGTTGAGCCTGCTGTTGAGACAAGGTTGACTGATCATAGGGTACATCGCTTGTGTTTGGCATTTGGCCAGGTTGGTTATGTAAACTCGCTCCGCCGATGGCCCTGTCATTAACAACAGACCAGAAACTAGCGTGAGAAGGCGGATGAGTGTTCAACCCGTAGCTCGAAGATCCGATCGGAGCATTCGAAGCGATTATCTACGTTTGACAGTCAGCCGGTAATGATCTCTGAAAGAGGACTACTATTCCCCTTACATTCTGTGACAGGATTCTCCTCCTTTTCGACAAGTGACGTTCGACTTGTTCTCCATTGTCACTAGTACGGGCTATCCGGGCCGGGTCGCTTGTCTGACCGCGGTCACTTGCAAGTTCAGATTCGACGGATTGATCATACAAGGAAGGGCCCCCGTGTGAATCCGAATTCGAGTTTGCAAGGGTGGTATCCGAGCACTGTGAAGATATCGAGGGTATGTCACTTTGGGGATCAACCGTAGGATCTGCCTCTGTTCGTATATAACTCGTCTGCCGATGCTCTGTCGAGGTCCCTGGTCGATCGAGATGGGGATTCTTGCTAATCACATATGGGCTAACCAATGCTATACCATATATAAGCAACATAACATCAAACATGCCTTGGGAACTTACTATCATATTGCTTTTGACCTTCCTGAATAAGTCTCGAAAAAGATATAGCCAATGTCCCAAGTTCCAAATAGACACTGCCTTCTTCTGAGAGTAAACGAGACAACTCAGTTAGAGAAGTGTAAGGAACGTTTCGAATCTTCGAAATTATGAACGTCACCAACCACGAGATACCACAATTCCCGAAAACCCTCTCGAGAACAAGTAGCTTGATGGCAAAACGAACTGCCTTTCGACTAGGCTCATCGTCCCGTTCCCTTCTCTTCAAAAACTCGCTGATACGCCCGGAACTCTTCCGCTCAGCCTTCGTCAAGTCCGTACTAAGCTCTGTAACTCGGGATGCACCATGTTGACTTTCCACATACGCATCGAATTCAAATCCCAAGGAACGGTATGCAAATATTGCTTGAACCCGGGGTATGAAACTCTTGGTTCCAGGTTGTTCTGCGAAGGCATGCTGAAAGCGGATATCGGTTTGCTCTGGTTTTATTTTGCTAATGATATCAGCGACTTCGGATTGCTTGCCCTTGATACCATCTATGCCTGCTGAAAGGGTATCGAGTATCTCGGTGCATGGATCCGTATGTGACTTGATGCGTTTCCTTATTTTTGTGAAAGCATCTAGAAGTTCTGTTCTCACATCGTAGAGAATGTCGTCGGGCGTTTGCGCGAGAACATTCATGGCTTGCCTTATATCTTCTCGTGACATGTTGCGATAGATATTGAGGAAAGAAAATGGGCGGGCAAAAGAAAGGGCAAGGTGGTACAGAATACACCGCTGCGAGGTGCAGTTTGCGGGGCAGTACTTTTGGTCTCGACTATCTTTTCTTAGTGTCTTGGCTTTGGCCAAATGGCCAAAGCCAAGACCTCTAGTGGTTTGATGGTTACCAGGTATAGACCTAATAGACAGCCATGCCTAAATGCTGACCAAATTTCAACATTAATTCCGTAATTGTGTCGACAACCTGATTTGCGCTCGATTCTACTGTTGTTCACTAAGTGATAAGTTCTTTTTTCACTCTGGTGGAGGACGTGGTTAGACAGGATGGGGTTATCAGTTCTCTCCCGCTCAGGGACTTGAATGCGATTTTGGCACAGCAACATCTGAACTAGAGATGCCGATTCTTCTATGTGCATCATGACATAAAGAGGCCTCTGTTTCTCTGGCCCATCGCTCATTCGAAATTTCATTTGAGAATTCACGACAGCGAGCTATGATCTGCTTGAGCCTACAGAGAGTTTATTGTGTGGTTTCAAACTGCATTTCCCGCCTCTTCTCCCCCCCAAACAGCTCGTGTGAGACAATTCTATTTCCGGGCCCAGACCCCAATCGAAGTAGTATGCATGAATCTGCGAAAGGCGCCATGTCTATGATGTTGGAAGAACAGCCGGCCTTTTCTCCCCCTTCAAACTCTGGTCTTTCTGCCAAAAACTCAGCACCGATTCGTTTATATGTAAGTTACCCTTTCTCCACATTAACACAAGCTCTAACCAAACAAGACCGTACGAATTTGGTTTTCTCCTAATGGACTCACACTTATGGAAGACATCAAAAAGAAGGGCCTTGAAGACGTGGTTGTTGATGCCATTGCTCTTCAAGAACTTGACATTCAGCATCAAGCCCACGGTGACTATAGAACCACGAAGGAACCATTCCTAGTGGATCTTGCGGTACTTGAGACTGGTATTATACGCGTCGTGGGGAAGTATAGGATTATGAAATTCGTTCCTCTAGGCAGCGATGATCCGATTATTTCGCAACAACCGGCAAAAGATCTCGACTCAAAGAAAGCTCTTGGCTACCAACACCTATACTCAAAGTACTTATAGGCGTACGTAAAAAAGCAGCGCCTTACTAAAGCTTTGGGCGTTGAGATGAATAAACTTTGGACGGACTGGTATGATGACTATCTTGGAGGAATTGGTATCCGCCTTAGAAAGCTCGGTTACTGTTGATTAAAGCAAATATACTTCAATTTATGGTTTGCTCTTGTACTAGTCACCGGAAAAACCTCAATTTAGAACAAATAAAAAGTTAAAGTTCGAAGGGACCGTTTTATATATAATGCCTTAGTATCGATCTCGAAGTATTTCCCACACTTGACTATTATAGGGTGGTCTTAAGAAAGTAATTAAGCCCTCTAATGCTTTAGAAGATAAAGTATCAAAGTTCTAAGTTATTAGTGCTAGCATTAGAATAGTACTATAACTAAGATGTTATAAAATATCCCTTATATAGACGCGTAAGTTATTCTCGAAAGAAAAGTCTTTATCGAGATATAGTTCTTAGGATCTTCTACTTCTTAAAGCTACGTAGATATCTAGTAGTATCCTAGTATCTAGGCTAGGGTTTTTCCGAGTCCGTCTATTCCTAGACTAACGGAGATTTAATTCTTAAAAAGAGTATCGCTTTTAAAGCAATTTCTACCGGCCTATATAGGAATTAGACGGGAATCGGGGAAGGCTTCTAAGGTAAGTATATTATCGCTATAAGTAAGAGGCGCGGGTACTTACTATAGTTAGATCTTTGGTTCGATAATAAGGTACGATAAATAGCGCTTTGGAGAGTAGAAATAGGTACCTTGATAACCTAATAGACTTAAACTAAAAAATATAGCTAATACTTTAAGCTTTTTATCTCTATTGATGTTTTTACTATATATTACTTTATACTACTCGAATCTAGCTGTCTAACCGGCCTTATATACTACCTTTCTTCTATACCGCTCCGGTCTCTTCTTCCGAAGTAGATATAATCTCTTAGGTTCCTACTAAGAGAGCAAATTAGAGAACGCCTAGATCAAACTATCCCTAATATTTCTAGCCCGTATACAGGAACTAAACTAGCGGTATATAAGCTTTAAAATACCGAAGTTATATATAACATTATAAAGCCTCTACTAGTTTATATTTCAAATTAGATAGAGAGACTACTACGGATACGTACTAAACCACTCGAAAATTATATTTATAAGTTTTCCTATAAACTATAAGCCTTTTTTATTATCTTCTTATATTTTAATTACTAGTAACCCGACCCCGAGCTATCTTTATAAAACTTAATGATAATATAGATTGTGAGACTATTATACTTCTTAATATCTCTCTAGGCGTTGAATTTATTAAAGGTAGGATTACTTATATAAGAGAGGAATACCTATTACCTAAATAGTTAATTATATATTTGAAAAACAATAAACTAGCTATAATTATATTATTAAATATTAGTTAAGGATCGAGTCTTTAGTAAGTACTCTTCTTTATTCTTAGGCTTATCGAAGTAATCTAATTTTCGATAACCGGGCCTCTAGTGACCGATCGGCTAATATAGAAATATTTCCGGCACTTTCGCGGTATAATCCTAAATTATAAGGCTAACGTTTATAGCTAAATATATAAGTCCTAATACAAATTTTATAAATAGAAATATTAAGGTATTCTACCGATTATCTTTTGAATTAGATATAGGAGGGAATAGAAACCTATAGTATTATTACTAGCGTTTTAGCAAATTATCTACCTTTATAAGGGACTTTACTAAAGTGATTTCCCTAATAGAATAAAATATAATTTAGTAGATTATTGACCTTTTGATAGTCCCTAATCCTTTTCTAACGATAGTGGTTACTACTATTCTAAGGTAGAGAAAGGAGTAGTAGCTAGCTAATAATATAAGGACCTAGTATAGGAATATAATTGGCTTAACGTTACTCTTTAACCTAAAGTAACAAAGCCCTTAGTTAATAGCTGAATATTATATAGAAAAGAATCTAATTATCGTAAATTAATATTCCTATTAATACTTTCGGCTTAGAGGTTATCTATTTTAGTAAGATCGATGCCGGTAGGCGATTAGTGAGGCTATCTAATAATAGTCTTATATTTTACTCTGTTCCTAGCCCCTACGAAATATACTATTTCGTAGGGACTTTTGAGCTTTACGTAGTATTCTAGGAAGCTATATATATTAGCTTAAGGAATTAAAATAATATCTATAACGTATTTAAGGCTATTATTTATTATTAAATATTTCTAGGATATGAATAGGGTAAGTACCTATTTAAGTATATAAAGATAAAGATACCCCCTAGTAATGTCCTAAAGAAAAGAAAGTATTAGATTAATAAAAATAGAATTCCCTTACGGTACGCTCCTTAAACCGCTATAATATTATTATAAAGCTAACCTAAGGTCCCCTAGATCCTAATATATTCTTACGAGAATTTAGACAAATAGGGCCGTATATCTATAACGTTCTATATGGTTAGAAAGAGTGTACCTATTAGGTAAGGCTATATTAGCTAATAACTTATAGACTTTATTATTAAGCTCGATATAACGAAGTGCGCTTAGTATGAGCCTATCGACGATAAATTATAGTATTTGTACGCCGGAAGAGGTAGTACTATTACGTATTTTATACTTGATCGGATATACGAAGTCCTCCTAAAATCCGAGAGCTATAACTATATTTAGGATCTATTTAAATAATCTAATTTTTTAATTTCCTAGGAGTCGGAGATAGAAGAAATATGCTCGAAGAAGCTAGGTCTCTATCTAGTCCTTAGCGGTAAGAAGCGTGTTATAACTTTGTTAAGTTAGAGCTAGAGGCTAATATATAATAGACTTAATGATAATGCGTACGAATAGATAGGCCTCTATAGGAGGTTATTCTTATAAACTTATTTCGAAGGAATTATATAGCGATTATTAACGCCTTTTTGCGCTTAACCGAGCCGTATAATAACTTAGGTTTACTGAGATATACGCGGGTCTATAGATTCTCGGTGAATACCTAAGGTCTATATTCCTAGGAATGTCTATTATTATAAAGCGCTAGCTTTAAAATTTAAGGTTTTCTATTACCGAGGAGGGGGTATTAATTAGGCTTGCCTTATAACTAGGACGGCCTATTAAAACCTAGGGCATTGCTAATCTTGTGAAAACGCGGGTTGTCGAAGGCGAATATTATATGACTTAGCTTTTACGTAATAGAGACTATTAGTATGCTAAGTGCGAGATGTTAAGTTCTCTACGATATTAGTAGTAACTAAGGGGAACCCTATAGGAACTTTTTAATACTTTATGTTAAAGGACGTCCTTTTATTACCCCTCCCTTTTCTTTGATACTTTACGTTAGTTTATATAATTGTATCCCTCGTTACCTTTTTGCCCTTATTTATAGAATAATAGGCGGTTCGTAAGAGACTCTATTGGGTCTATTAGAGGTTAATTTAAGAGATCTTTTATAAACTAAAGTAACTTTCTATCTTCTATCCGTTTATTTACGTAACTTATATAAATTATTATTACTTTATTTAGCTATAGAGTTGTGTCTCTTAAGAGAGTCTATATTAGGAGCTAATAAATATCTTATAGGTTAGATAATACGTCTTAGATATATATCTATATATAAAGCTATACTAGGTTGCCTTTCTATCTAAATACGCTTGTCTTATTATAGTTAAGTAATTGCTCTTATGCTATATGCCTATCTATATACTTTTGTAAACGTAGTAGAATCTATACTTACCCCTATTAAATATAGTGCGAGAGCTAGCTATATACCTTATTACGAGTATGCCTTAAGCCCTAAATAATATTTAGAAAGCCGTAGCTATATGCTTAAATAGTAAGTTAATAGTAACGGTAGTCCTAGTTGGTACTGCTCTATAAAACTATATAGGTATTTACCTACCGGAATATTGCGGTTATTAAATGGGCGTAGTAGTGATTAAACCACCTTTTCTTAATTTGGCCTAAGTCTTAAGTATCTTATATATCCGGGTAAACTAGTAGCGTTATAAAGCTCGGTAAGATAGTTTATGACTAGGTAGCGCTCTATTCTCCTATAAAATAACAATATATATAGTTATACTTACTATTATCGAAAGGCTATATAATCCTAAAATTATATAGCCCGGGATATATACCCTATATAGATATTATATTGTTTATAGAGCCCGAATCGGCCTATCGAGACTACCCGTTATATTAGTTGATTAAGCTAATAATCTAAAGTTTACGTAATAGGCCTATTTAATTAGAGTAACTTTATATTAATGCCTATTTCGTATCTTTTACCTCGTACCTCGCGCCTAGCCTTTTTAGAATAGGGGTAGGCTATAAAGGTGATAGATAGCCTACCCTTTTCTTAATATATCCGATAATCCTTTAGTATCGTTACTTATAAGATCCGTGACTCCGGCCTAAGCTTCCTTTAAAGCCCGTTTAAACCTACTCTATTGCCTCGCTGATTACTTATTACGAGTCTTATATTAGGCGCTTAGACTTATTATTGTAAGTACCTTCTTTAATTATTCCCGTCTATTAGCTTACCTTATATAATACCTAGCCGAAAACCTATATCGTAAAATAAGTAATGATCGGATTCCCGTATACTTAGATACCCTCGGAAGTACTTAAGATTAATCTATAAGCCTAGTAGAGTATAATATCGATAAAGCAATTCGGTATAGTATCGTAGCGCTTTAGACCGCTATTAATTCCGCTCTCTTAGAGACCCTTAGGATATAGCTAGATGCTCGGTACTAGTAAATATAAAACCCTAATGATCTTAATATATTAGTACGGTGTTATTAGCTTACGACTAAAACGACTTCTAATGCCGACTATATAGTACGCCTAGATCGTCTAGTAAAATTGCTTAATACTAGATTCTATTACCTAGCCTAAACCCTACGTTGTATAACGAGCGATGATTAGCTTTCCCTATACTTAGACGCCCTCGAAAGTAGTTCTTAAGCTTATAATTAGCCTATAAACCCGACGGGTAATATCGATAAAGTAGTTCGGCTTGACTTTCTAGC